TGTAAAAATAAAAAGGTGTGATATTCCTTCCTACTTAGCATATTTCTGACATTTGCAAAATCTCACTGATAGTTCAGTACAAAATATATATCATATCTTTGAGTTTGAAGGAGGAATTTATAATAGAAGAAAAAAGAAACTATTTCTACTGCAGATTTTATTGAGTTCATTTCAGCTTGTTACCCAGAATAAGTCAGATCACCACAAATATGATCAAACAAAATACTTTAAACCCAGCAAGACAGGGTAGGGCAACCCCAATGTAACAACTGCATACAATAGGGAAAGTAGCCAGGTTAAACAAAATATGATTCCAACAATATAACACTTTAGTAGTTCTTTTTATTCCTCTAGCTAATATACCATTAAGAAGTGATTCACTTTCTCTATATCCTATATGAAGCAATTTTTAATGAAACTATCACTGTCTATGTTAATTTCCTAAAGGGGAACCAAATTAATGTGAATGGTTATGCTGGTTATTTGGCTATAGTGAAAGCACTGCCTTTGAAAATAGATTCTCTCTTCACTTAATCTCAGAATTTACATATGATCCTCCAAAAGTAAAATATTTTACCATTAGACTTTAAAAATACTAAGTGCATGTCCTTGAACCAATGTTAGTCTTTTCTTTTTTGTAAATTCCTATATGTCATTTCCTTTATGTAAATGAATCTTGATTTAGTTTCATGATCTTTACTTTAGGCTGGCACAGCTGCAAAGTGCTTCTCTTTTCTTATTTAGAAATCAAGAAGCTTCTATTGTAGAATATTAAGCAGCATCCCTATTCTCTACTTACTAGATGCTACTAGGAACTTTCTGTTTTTCCCCGGTTGTGACAATAAAAAATGTCTCTAGACATTGCCAAATGTCTCTTGGGAGTGTGTGTGTGGGGGGGGGGCACCAGGGAGGGAGGCAAATGGCTGCCAGTTGAGAACAACTAGTTTAGAAGGTTTAATTGAGAGTTTAGTAATATTATGTAAGATTTATTAGGCAGTAATGTAATTAGGATGGAATCAATGAGTTATAAGGCATAGAGCATGACTGCAAATCAGTAATCTATTCTTAAAGCTGTCATGTGGGTGGCTGGACTATTCTTGATACAAATGGGGGGCTATTCAATTGACTTGGATTTTAATTCTACTTCTGCCCCTTATTCTCTGGTTACTTAACTATTTCCTTTTCTTAACCATAAAGCAGAAATATAACATACAAGTTGGTACATAGTAAGATCTCAACAAATGGTAGCTATCGCCACTAAGAAGTTTATATTCTGGGTTGGCTCAGTGGCGCACTGCTACAGTGCGCCACTTGGGAGCGCAGTGGTGCTCCCGCCGAGGGTTCGGATCCCACATACAGACTGGTTCCCGCCCACTGGCTGAGCGAGGTGCGGGCGCAGCACCGAGGGTTGCCATCCCGTTGCTGGTCCCGGTCCGGTACGGGCGCGACACTGAGGGTTGCAATCCGTTGCCGGACACGGAAAAAGACAAAAAGGAAAAAAAAAAAAAAGAAGTTTATATTCTATCTTCTAACCCATAAAGAGCCACTGAATGGTTTTAACTAAATTAACCCAAGTTGCTCCTCTTATTTTCCAAAAGGCACTATGATTTTTAGATTAACACAATTGCATGGGAATTGGGAGACCTGAGCTCTGGTCTTGTTTTTGTGACCAATTTGCTATATGTCTTTGAGTAAGTTGCTGCACATTTGGATCTCAGGTATACCAACTGCAGTATAACAGGTTTGAGGATAATCTCCAAGGTTTATTTTAGGATTGCGATTTTCAAGCATTTTATCAATTTTCTTCCTCACGTTTTGTATCTGGAGA